GAAAGCCAATTTCCGATTACGAGTGCGCGTGTCTTTTCGCCTTGCTGTCCTGTTACCGCGAGCTCTCGCGCGCGAAAAGATAACGTCGCGCGAAACGCTCCGTTCCGTCGTAAATAAAACGACGTTTTAATTATCCGGCCGGTTCCGCCGAATCGAAGGAAAGCAATTTGCGCCGCGGAACGTCGCGCGAGGCGACATCGTTCGCGAGTTGGTCGTCGCCGGACTGCTGTTACCAAGGAAGCGTCAATGAGGCCGCGGATAATATCGGGCCCCCGAAAATATCTTAATAACTAGGTCCCCGTCGCCTCGAACGCGGTCCTGGATAATAATTCACGTCATTCACCCGCCAGGCGAGTCAATCCTCCGCGGAGAGAGCGGCGGGGAAAAAAGCGTGGAAGCGAGAAAAGGGACGAGGGAAACGATCTCGTACACGGCGCGGCACTTAATCGATCGATCGCGCACTAAGTGGTACGCACTGAAGCACACGTGAACCGAGGAGGATTGCAGGGAGCGACGCGGATCTAATCAAGGCGAGCGACTCCCCGAAGACAACGACGTCCGAGTCGCCTTGCCTCGCGCAATTATCGCGATAATGATAATTTATTATCCCGATGATGGCCGCGAGAGAGCCCGGGGAGCTACCTTCCGTCGCACGATTTTATCGAAATCGCGTAATACGATTAATAATCGTCTCGATTACGATCTGTTATCGGCTCACGGCTGTGAGCGGCCCGCTTCCTTTTGATCGACGGCCGCGGATTGAAGATACGATTATCGCTCTCCTGTCCGTCGGGCAATCTCGTTTGACCGTCTCGAAAGCGCCTGTACACCGCGAGCGATCAACGACGCTCCGAGCAGAAGGCAAAAAGATGGCCGCGTCTCGGTTGTACACAAGGGCCGCGCGCCGCGGCCTGTAATTATCGCCACTGGCCGTGGGAATTGAATTACGAGGTAAATTCGTGACGTGCCACGGTGGCCGTTCCGACAAAAGCCGCGCGACCACCTCGACAACGAGCGCAGATTCGACGCCCTCGATCGAGACCCTCGATCATGATTCACGCAGGTGATTCGAGCATTCTTATTACAGCCAACTACTAATTTCACGCGCCCACGTGTATGCGTGTGTGTTCCTTTCTTCCTACAGATTTTACTTCCGACACGAGAAGTAGATTTATTTAACAATGGAGGGGAGGGAGGATGGATGGATTAAGAGATCGCTTGGAATATAAAGTAATGATGTAAAAAGGTATTTTGAGAACGTAAGTAGCTTAATATAATGGCTAATAAGATGTATATAAATTGTGCGGAAAAAGAAAGAAAAATAAAAAAATTAAAGCAGGAGAGAGAGAAGAGCGAAAAACAGTATCAAGTTAGGAGCGACTCAAGTTTCTTCCGAGACTCGTGAGTCGTTACTCAAAATAAATCTTGGATACGAATGAGAATCTAACATTTTTTTATCAAACCAAGTTGTTACCATCGCAGTGTCCGGCACGTCGTGTATCGGATGCGAGGCGAGCACGTTGCGTTCACCGGTTCGATTCGAAAGCACCTCGAATTTCGGACACGCGTAACGACCCAATAACGCACAATGTTACGCGGTCATAAAGTCCCGATAAAAAGCCGCGGTTGCCTCACGGCTTGCGGTCGCATATACGTATACATCATCCTGCGCGATCCCGCAAGGCCCGCTCCGTGAATAGGAAAAAGAAACAAGTTCCCGCCGACGAGGAGCGATCTTCCACCCCACGAGGTATTATTTTCGTGACTTCGTCTGTCCCCCTCGCCGTTTCACTCCCGCCCGGCCGGCCGAAGGAGATGATTCATTCACCCGGTCGACGAAGAAGACGGCGTGCTCAGGTTCGAGGACCTCGCACGAGCGCCTCGTCGAGGGACGGCGACTCAACTCGTTAATCCGTGAACAATGAAGGATTCGGCTGGTTCGGGTCGCTCGGCACGAGAGTGCCATTCGCTGCTCCTTTTCACTTTCGATTTCTCGCCGCTTGCCGGGGTTAAAGGTGGCGTCGATCTACGAAGGGCGATAACTCGCGTTCCGATCCTTTCTCGGCGACATCGCGAAAGTGATAGCCGAAATATTGCGTGCAACGGCGACGTTGTAGCGCGCGCGATCGATTCGTCCGCGCTTCCTTTCGCACGCGTGCGAGAGATATATTCCCGCGTGCATAATATTAAGTACACTTTCAAGACTCCGTTAAGGGTACAAATGAATTTCCTACGACCATTCCCCTCCTCTTCCGCCGGTGGAACGCTCGGCGAGAAATTCTCTCGCGAGAATTATATTGCGGCGATCGTTCCCTTCTGAGCGTTTGACGATCATTTGTAACCGTCCGCTAATTATTGCGCAACGCAGTCCTACGGCTTCGCCGTGCACCACGAGATAAAGCTTGTCCATCAAGCGGCCCTTTTTAGGCGCGGACAAATTAATTCATTTCTCCGGACGCGCTTACGCATGGTAGACGGGCACCGATCTCGGTGCACGCTCATGCCAATCAGTAGCGCAAACAGAAGTTATGTCCGAGACGACCGTGTCAATCATCGCGTGGGAATCTTTGCCTGCTTTTACCGCGAACCAGGAAGCACCTCGATCTTCGCCGACTTCGCTTTGGCCGCGCGTCAACGTAGAATATCACCGTCGTTTTGCAATCAATATCGTGACCGTTGTCCCTCCGCAAAAATGAGTAGAGTACGGAGCATTAGTGAGTGCTAATTGATGTATATCGAGGGTGGCTACCGTTTCTTCCGACTTTGGTGGTCGCAAAGACTGCAACGACAACAACAACATCGACGCTCGTATCGATTTAACACCGGTTCGCGGGATTAAAGAAACAATCACGAGCAACGTCGGCCGGCCGTAAAATTAATAAGCGCAATGAACGTTAACGAGCACCATAAATATGCTCTCCCGCGTCTCGCTTATTCGCCGATTAGCATAATCATTCCCGATACCCCCAGGCTATAATTTAAAAATGTCGCAATGAATCGCCAGTAATCTTTCCTTTACAAAAAGCACGACCAGATATCCAGTATACCACAGTGAGCAAGAGAGAGAGAGAGAGAGAGAAGATGTAGATCCTCGATCTAACGTTGCGCAAGAATATCGAACAGTACCTTTCCTTCAGGATGTCTTAATTATCTCCCTTCGATCGTATCGATCCACGCAACACGCCGTAATTAACTCTATTGTTGCGCGCTGTAAAACTGCAAGACCGGTCACAACGCGATAAAATCGAAAAATCTATCCCGACAATCTTTCATTTTGGAGCCACGTGTTTCTCCCTCCCCGACTGGCCACGCCTCTGACTAATTAAACTCATTAATTTACTTAATTGAAGAAATTAATCGGAACCGAGTTAAACAGCGTTGTCGTGGCCAACATTGTGTGTGATTTAACGACGCCGCTTGTCGACGACGATGATTGAACTCCCGCAGCGAGAATACCGGCGTTATAATTGCACAGTCCACGGACGTGGAATTACAATCGCAAGCTCGTCGTCGACGAGCGTCGAGGTCGTCAAAAAGCGATCATCGTTCTTACTTCGTCGGGAACGTTTGTTTTACAGACGATAAAGGCGCACGTGCATGCGTGCGTTATTAATCCGATACACAGCCGAGACTTTTAATTATGGACCATTACGGGGGAGAATCGTCTTTTGTGAGCGGCGCACCCACGGCGCGATTGCAAGCGGAAGATATCTCGAGGCTGGGGGAAATATTAGGCTCGCAATCAGCGTCCAATTAAGGGCCAAGGTTGCCACGGGCCAGACTCTTCGCGTCTCCTAATTGCACCGGCGAGATATTTCGCCTATCTTAACGTGTTCATTATTATGGTAGTGCCAGTTTTACGGGCGTATCAACGCATCAATTATGCGAAAAAAGACATCGCGTCTCGTGGAAGGATCAATTAGCGAATTGCGCCGCGCGAGCGCGTGCTGGAAACATTCGGCGGTGAATTAGCACTCGGTGCGATTCCGGAACTAAAGAGGCGAACGTGACGACTAAAAAAGTTGCAACACTTTTTTTCCAACGAGTTTCGCAACGCACCTCGTATCCAGTAGGGAAATGTATTCCCTAAGAACTAGAAAATAAATTCTGTTAATAGACACGGAATGCGTCTTTCGAAACTTATAGAAAAAAGTGTGGCAACCCTTTTATGATCGACTATTTATTTAAGAAATCAACGATTCAGAAATCTTTCCGAGACACATTTCGAGAACATTGCGACATTCAAAGCAAGACTCCCCCCTCTCTCTCTCTCTTTCTCGTCAAGATTTAACTTGTCCTTGCCTTTCGCGTTGGCGCTTCGTTTCACGGATTCGTTCCATGTCCCACTCCTCGAACTACGTCCTCATTACGGACAACTCTCAGAAAAGGGCTGCGGTGCTCGTTAAAATCGTTTTTCGTCACCGCTGCTCGCAATTTGTTAAGGGACGAAGAGCCGCATGTGTACCTGCGAACCGCCACTTATGTATCCGAGAAGGGTCCTCCAAAGGACCTTCCTTCTCCTATCTCTATCCCTATCGGGATAGATATTTCTCTTTTTCTGCTCCAGTTTACTCCGGTTTACTCCAGTTTTTCGTTTTCTCGAATTTTTCTATCCTCTATTTATTGCGTGTGCGTCGACACGCTCAAGTTACCACGACACAAGTTGGGATCGAAATAGAGACGTCACGCGATATTAACGAGAGAGAAAATAGTTTCACTATCTTTCGAATACCCGAACCGTTTGATAATACACTCGGACTCTGACACCGGGGTAGGACAACGCGATAGTTCGAGTTTCGGAGTTTCCAGAAAAAAAACGTGAGTCATATCCTGAAGACGCGGTAAAAATGAAATGCCAGCAGGACGAACGGTTATGAAACGTTGGAAGTATCTCGCTGCTGTTATGCGCGTTCAACGCGATTTTATTTTTGATTTCCGGATATTTTCCGTTAGAATCTTCCGTCAAACTACGTTCGAAAAAATATCGTCAATTCGCCTACCTGCTTGAGATCCAGGAGAATCGTCACATATTCATAGCGATCGCCTCTAGCTATCGTCGGGCTCTGCCACCACCTGCCAGAATTCAGATGCAGGACGTTGCTAATGTGATGCCTCTTGCCGGCATCCGGGCTCCTGGAGTCGCAGACGGCGCATCTCGACGGTTCCGAGGGCTTGCAAAACGTTTCCGGACCGTGTTCGCCGCATGTCGCGTTCACGTAAATCTCCGCTTTCGCGGCGACGTTGAATATAGGCGGGAAGAGGCTACTGTTTTTAAAGGTCGAAGCTGGAACTGAAAGAACGAAAGATTCCCATATCAGGTCGAGATAACGATGAAAAATATTTCGCGTGGTAATATTGTATTTATGTACAGGGGGCGAGATAATGAAATTAACAAGTTCTCAAAAAATTTAAATCAAACAAAATTCCATTTTATTTATAATGTTTTTTCAGTTGATGCAGGTAATAGGCAAGGCTTTAGCTATTTAGAAAAAAATTGATCATTATTTTTATGTTATTACAGAAATCAGGGATAATCGACGAACTTCAAGATCGTCATCTTATCCCCTTTTCCTCTAAATATCATTGTTATCGTCGATGTGAAATAATGTACGATCGTAAATGATTCTTCGGACGCTTTAACTGTAGCTGTAATTGACTGCCGACATAAAGTCACGGGTAACGTGAATTTTTCGACAGCTCTGTTATCTCCTCGACGTCCGAACCGCCGTCAACTTCCGAAATAGAGCCGGGCGTCGTCGTTAAAATTTTGTTCTAGCCGTTAATTCCCTTTTATTCTCGTTTTACGAGGCTACCGGTGCCTTTTATCGGCGAATCCTTGCGTCGGGCCGATAAATCATCACGAGTTTTCATCCACAGCCGTCTCTCGTGTGTTTATTCGACAAACGACCGCCGGTGTGCTCGAGGGTGCGCATTAACGTCTTATAAATTCGTTTCATGTGGGAAAATGACGGAGGAAAAACCAACTTTCTGTCGGCGGCGTTTTCGCGCCTGTGATTTTTACCCGACGGGTTCGTAAACTTGCGGCCGCTCAACACGCGATCCCGGGGAGTCGCTGATATTTATTCGTCGACTTACACACACGGTACACATTGTAGAAATTTATTGATTTTAAGAAATCACCCGCTTAATAAATTGCAATCTCAGATGCCGTAAACCTCGCGCAACAGTCGGCCAGTTCTGCAGGAAACGCCGTGCAAGCACGTTCGCCCTCTCGGCGCTCTACCACGGCGAGTTCCGATCGATTAGATATGTCAATTACAACGTACAACGCTCGCGCGCATGTATTAACATTCCAACGGCCGTCGGTTGTAATTACAATACACCGAAAAATCGTCATTTTTCCATGTATAAGCGTGACGTAACGTCTCCCCGAGATGAGGGCGACGAGCTGAGCGGCGACAAGGAAGGAGAGATGAACGTGTAATCGAAGCTCTACGCGGTCCCGATCCCGTCATTTTCTGCTAGGCGACGCATCCATCGACAGGTTTTGACAGAGTGCAACGCGAAACCAGTCGTGAGCGCGCGGCTGACAGGTTGAGAGGCGCGCCGAAGATGCCGCGCGGCGGCGAACAGGTTCGTCGTCGCGCCGGTTCCACACCTGAACAGGTTACACCTGCGTACGTCGCGTACTACGGCACGTAAGAAACGCGAGGAGAGCTATTCGCGAGAGAAAGAGAGAGAGAGAGAGAAACCTGCGTGTACGCAGTCCGGCCGAGAGTTTGCGACGCGTCGGTGATAATAAATTGATCATCGCGCCGTGGAAATTGCGGGACGAGCGATCATCCGGAATACTTTTTCCCTTGACGCGAGCCAGCTTGAAGAACGATCGGAGGATAATGGAAAGCTTCATTCCCCGGTGTGCGTCTTCATTGACCTGGATCAACTCGATATGTATATACACATACAGTGTGTCTATCGTTAAGTAGGACATTCATCATATACTTGTACACGGGAAAAGTATTGTAGTAAAATACCACAAAATGTTGTAATGTAATTTGGTTCATACCGGAATTATGATGTGTGTTGTAATCTTTAGTGACGTGTTGTATCGTACGCATCACTAAAGATCACAACACATAATAATTTCAGTTATAATTCCAGTATGGTTCAACATTAGAAGATTTTATGGTAATTTTTACTACAATATTTTCTCTGTGTTCAGGTCAATGTGAACAAAAAAGTCCTTTATTCATTTTGCAAACAATCATGCAAAATTATGATTATTAATTATTGAAAATAACCAGATATAGAAGCTTCCTTAATTATTAACTTAAAAATTGGCATGGTTATTTGCAAAATGGTGTCTCTCTCTCTTTCACACACATTTTCTCTGTTCCGTCTTCTCTTGCGAGATGGTTCCTCTTGCAAGAGGTCAAAGGTTAACCGGCGTGATAAATAGCCGCATTAGTTCCATGGCTAGATCTTGATTTCGATTCGAGATCGGAGATACGCGTGGAGAATTATGCGCCATATCCTGCCAAAAGTCGCCGTTATTAGTCAGTATTATCTGGTGCGAGAGGACGACTCGCGATCCATCATTCTTGATTAATGCTCGCCTCGCGCCTCGGATTATACGCTACCGCGTGGCCGCGCGGAATAATGATCCTTCGGTATCGCTCGCTTAAACAATATTTAATAACAGTCCTGTTAACACTCGTACACAGGCGTTATCGCTTGTAAAGAATCGTTAACGACCATGCGTTTTGACGTGTGCAACGCGCTAATCAGACCACGCTAATCGCGCCGCAATATTTTACGTCGTCAACGAGTATTCCGACATTTTTCTCGATCGGCTCGTTTTCTCGAATGCATAATCAATGTTGGTGTTGAGAAATCCGCTTCTGTCAGGATTAGAATCCGCGCGTGACCGAACCGATCTCGCCTTACACGGCCGGTGCAATTCGGCAGATTTGCATTTGCGAAGATCGTTGTGTTCATTTTTGTCGCACTATGTGACTCGCGTGTTCTAAAAATTATCCCCGGGATTAGCAAATCCTCCTTTCCCCGTTTGCGTTCGTGAAAGCGACGTACGCAAATAGTGCGCGGAGTGCGTCCCACGCCAAGCCGTCTCGTCCTTCTCACCAGAAAATCCCTAACAAAACAAATGTCCGGTACGTAAAAGGCGAAGCCTTCGCTCTCGCCGTTCTGTGCCCGATGACGAATCCGTACGAGTCTCTCGCTAAGCCTCCGCGCGCTCACGTAGCTCCCTATTTCAAGAACAACGTGGCAGAAATCTCCCGGACGTGCTGCTTGCACCAAACTGCGCGCATTATGCGTGCGGGTAGAGAAAAAAGGCAACGGGGCGTTCAGAAAACGAGCAGACGCATTGTGCGCGTGACGAGCTGCTGCTGCCGTCGTCGCCGCCGCTGCAGTCTGCCGTACCGCTTCCTATTCCTCTTGCGACTAGGGAGTCGCTTGAATAGGGAAGCGGCGACAATGAAGCTCTTTCGACAAGCGTCTAATGATATGCAAATGTGCATTTTATCGACCTATGCCGAAGCAGCGCTTGGACGTGAATGTTTTAATTCGGCGGAGTTAATGTCGCACCGCGCAAGTAGAGGAAAAGCATCGAAACTGACATAGATGTGGTAAAGTGACATACTCATGTTTTTCGGCTGTAAAATACTGAATTTGAAAGTTTGCTAGTGGGAAAAGTATACGGGAAAAGTGTCATCATCGTGTTCGCGTTCAAGTGCGACAACTTAACTCCTCTCGCATTCTTGAAAAACCTCAATTTATCAACGCATTCCTCGCGCCAATCCAGGAATAGCTCTGCCGCGCTCATCGTGTAACATTCCTACATTCTGCATTCATCGGCCGTTCTCCGGGAAAGTCGAAGGAGCGATTTAAATCCCGACGACCGAGTTCAAGGTAGCACCCGGTATCCCCCCTGTCTTCGGAGCATCCATCAATTATCGTGAATCACGATCTCTTCTCTCTTCCTCGACGATTGCACCCCCGACAACGCACCTTACGGCCACACTGTGGGATCGATCGCCGCATGCTGAGAAGGTGGACCGTCCTCCGACGCGCGCACGGCGAGCGCGAAACGTTGAACTCGGGCGTGGTTCGGATTGACACGGAACAGGAGACACGAGCGATCAGGAAATTGGCCGAGGCGTGGTTTGAGAACGTTTACTGCGGAGCTATTTGTCGTGAGCGATGTATCCTTCCGTTCTCGAATTGGCTTGGCAGTCGATGTTTCAGGACGCGCGCGTCCCACGACCAGATCGCGCAACTCGAGCGAGACGCAATCACGAGCGGAGACGCAGAAATAATTATGCAACTGCGAATATGCGAGAAAACATTCGAACGCGAAGTAAGGGAGTATCGCGATAAAAAATACAGGAGTGACAAGGTGGAAATTCTTGCGTCGAGATTATCACTTCGTTTTTGACGTTAATTAATTCTATCAGATGTACAAATTAATTCGGTGCCTTCGGTTTTACCCGTTTCTAGTGAACATTTCAAATCAAATATTCTAGAAGTAGCTGGTTCCTCGAATTTAAACACTATTCCTGGCTATTGTTTTCCCACGCTTAAGCAAACTCCGCATTTAGTGCGTCGCTCTTCCTTCTGATTCCCTATTGCTCTCTCTCTCTCTCTCTCTCTCTGTTCCTCGTATGTGTACACACTCTCTTCCTATAATAGTCACAACATGGCATGGGGGAGGATCGCGTGGCACGGCGATTCCAGAAAAGGAGCAGAGACCGCGGGGCATTGTGTCATGTCTGTGCGCAACGAAATCGGAGTCTCCTTTCCTGCTAGCGTTGCCTGGCGACTTAAGCCCGCTACGAGTGACTGATGACGACAGAAATAACCCCCGTTCCATCTTTCCGCCGAGTCGGCCGGCCGGCCCGACACGACGCACGTGTCCACGTGCGTGTATAAACCTACCTACGCAAGCGTCGCGCGAGAGGGAAAACGGACTTTGCGTGATTTGCGTGCGGACGCTGGAAAGACTCAGCGAGAAACGCGCCGGTCGCACCGGTGTATCGCTCCACGCTCGATGGAGTCTGCGCCGTTGCGGTAAAGGCTCCCGGTAATTACCGCCGAAGAGCTTGCCGTTATTATTAGGGTTACGCCGTCGTAATTTTAACGCGGCTGTCGTTTACGTCACAGTCGGTCAAATCGATTATTTCGACACAGTTTACGCGAAACAAGGAAGACGCAAGAAAGACCTGCGAAACTCGTGATGAAAACTGAAGAGGGAAATTAATAGTCGGTATTAAAAGTCGGTAATGAATCCTCACGTCTTCATTCTTACAA